GAAGACAAGAGAAAAATGAGAAGAGTGTTGTGATAAATGCAGCTCTTAAGGACGGAGTCAAAATATTTTGTCCATAAAAGTTGTGCTGGATAGCTTTAGTGTCAACTTGACACACCTGGGTTGAGGGAGCCTCAATCGGGAAATTGCCTCTATTGGACTGGCCTGTGGCCATGTTGGAAGGGCATTTTGATGAGTGATGTGGGAGGGCCCAGCCTACTGTGGGTGGTGCCACCCCTGGGCAGGTGGGCCTCTGTTGCATAAGAAAGCAGGCTGAGCAGGGGTCAAAGAAGCAAGCCAGTAAACAGCCTTCCTCCATGGCCTGTGCTCCAGCTCCTGCTTCCAGGTTCCTGCCCTGAGTTCCTACCTTGGTGAACTACGACCTGATGATGAACCTGATGACCTGATAAACTACGACCTGGGAGATGTAAACTGAATAAACCCTTTCCTTCCCAAGTTAGTAGTAGTCAGAGTGTTTTGTCACACAAAGAAGCAAGCCAGTAAACAGCCTTCCTCCATGGCCTGTGCTCCAGCTCCTGCTTCCGGGTTCCTGCCCTGAGTTCCTACCTTGGTGAACTACGACCTGATGATGAACCTGATGACCTGATAAACTACGACCTGGGAGATGTAAACTGAATAAACCCTTTCCTTCCCAAGTTAGTAGTAGTCAGAGTGTTTTGTCACAGCAATGAAAAAACAAACTAGGACAGTGTGTGTTCATGTGTGTGTGGGTACACACATGTGTGGGTATGTGTAAATGAGTCAGTACGTTTGGGAAAAGAGAAAAACCTTGGGTATCATCTTTAAGAACAGCAACAACTCCCTTTGAGATAGAGTCTCTCATTAGCTCACCAGTTAGGCTAGATTGGCTGGCCAGCAAACCCCAGGGATCCTCTTGTCTCTATCTTCACAGCACCGGGATTACAAATGCAAACCACCACATCTGGCATTTTCCCATGGGTTCTGGGAATTGAATTCAGGTCCTCATGATGTTGGACCCCCGGTCTGGGGTACCCAATGTCCACGGAAGGTCGCACCCCAATGAAGCTTCAGAGGGAAGCGGAGATCATCAGGGCTGTTCACGTGAGATTTCAGATTGAGAATCTGTGAGTTCTGGTCAGCTGGGGCTGAAGAATCAGCTGTGATTAAGAAGAGACATTATAGTTGAAGGGGAAAGAAAAATCTTCCATGACATAAATAGCCTGAAGGAATTCACATCCACAAAAGCAGCAGTTCAGGGAGTTCTGGAAGCAATACAAAGAGCTGAAGAAAGTAATGACTATACCCAAGGGATTTCAGAAAGAAATAGAATGAAGGTATAATTGTGGAAAAAGTACAGCTATATCAACAATGTAAACAGAAATAAAAATGACAGGATTAAATACTCATGGAGAGCAGCTGAAGCTTGGCACTCTGAGAGGCCAGGAAAGGTCATAGGTGAAAGTGCAGCTTCAGTTGCAGTGAAGACCCCAGGACTCAAGGGGTCATGGAGAGAAACTGAGGCTTTGCACACCAAGAGGCAAGAAGAGGCCTTTGGTGAAAGTGTAGCCTCAGTTTCAGTGGTGACCCCAGCATTTTGGAGATGCCGGGACCATGGGACGACCACCAAGGACAGCGGCAGGTGTGGAATGGAGCTGGCCTGGGTCTGCGAGACAAGCTGAGTGTGCTGTGGACTGCAGAGTCAGAGCAGTGGAGCTGCCAGTACCCTTTGGAGCCAGAAGATCGTGAGTGAATCCCAGATGTCCAGCCTTGAGCTAATTTGCTGGACTTCAGTTTTGCTTAGGTGTGCCCGATTCTTCCCTTTGAAATAAGACAGTACTTGTTTTGGATTTTACAGAAGCAAGCCAGTGAGCAGAGTTCCTCCATGGCCTTTGCTCCAGCTCCTGCTTCCAGGTTCCTGCCCTGAGTTCCTACCTTGGGCTCCCTGATGAACTGCAACCTGGGAGATGTAAGCTGAATAAACCCTTTCCTCCCCAAGTTGGTATTGGTCAGAGTATTTTGTCACAGCAATGAAGAAACAAACTAAGACAAAAGTCTAGCATATCTAATTACAAACTATACCTTTTAGAAAATTAGGTAATTCATTTACCTTTTTTACATTTATTTACTCATTGTGTATGTGTGTGTGCATGTGTGTGTGTGACACAGCACATGTATGGAGGAAGCTCGCAGGACTCAGTTCTCTCCTTCCACCAGGTGGGTCCTCAGGATGGAACTCAGGTCATCAGGCCTGGTGGACAGTGCCTTAATCTGCCAAGCTGACTCCCAGTCTCAATTAGTTACCATTTTTGTACACTGATCTTTCATCTAGCAACCTTACTGAACTCTATATCAAGCTTTAATAATTTGTCTTTGTCTTATATTTTAAACATCTACCTAATATTTGTTCCTCTTTGTGAAAATAAAGGAAGAAGATTTCATTAATCTCTGTTAAGGACAACTCTCCTAAACTTTCAAAATTCAATATACTGTTCTTTGGCCATTACTAATCCTTGTAACACTCTTACTTCTAGACTTCTATTACCACTAATCTTCAACCTACAGTCCCATTCTTCCAAGCACTGACCCCAGCCACACTTTATTTCATTCTCTAAGGTAAAAAGCATCACATCATCAGACACTCTTAACCACACTCCTGCTAGTGCCCATGTTCTCTTCTCTTAGCTCATTTGCCATGTAAGGACCAAGTTTGGATTAACTCATCAGTTTCCCCTCTCCATTCCCATACCTACATCTCAGAATAGTGCCTGAGAAAAGAAAGTATAGTTTTGGAATATCATCGCAAACAATTTAGCATTGTTCTGCTGCCCCATTATACACTGCTTCATAAAATGTCCACATCTACTTCCCTTGACCATATTTAAAACCACCATTTTCCTAAAACGTGTATGAATCTCATTTCATGATACTCCTTGATTTGCAATTTGAAATTTAATAAAGCTGAACTGCTGGGAGATGGTGAGTAAAGGCACTTGCTTTGCAAGCCTGGCAACCACAGCTCAATTCCTAGAACCCATGTAAAATAGAAGGAGGGAACCAACTCCCCAAAGCTATCCTCCAGTCCCAACATATGTACTGTGACAGATGCACTCCCACACTCATACATTCACACACACACACACACACACACACACACACACACAAATCTTTTTTTAAAGCTGAACTAATTGAGGTTCCCTGAATATGCCTTAATTTCTTTACACATATTCTTTCCTCCAGAGAGCCTTCTAAGTTCCTTCAAATCTCAGCTCAATGCTACAGAGCCTTTCTCCTGTGCATCCACAATACACTCACCTGCCTATAGGCAGAGAAATAACTGTGCTCCATCATACGTGATCACCCATTTTTTTCTATATTACTGCTCCTGAGAGGACAAAGAACTTTTTTCTGTTTCCAAGCACCTAACCAATCACATGTTGACATGATGAATTATTCCTACTAAAGCACAATTCCTTCACATGTTGAAGTAATGAATTCCTTCCACTAAAGTGCAATTCCTTGAGCATGACATTATGCAAAAGAAATTTAGAGGAAATAAATTTATAAAAACCTTAGTTAAGTTGAATGTGGCTGTTTGACCAGTAACATCCATAGTAAATTTTACATTCATACACCATAAAATGTTCTTATATAAAATGCTTTTCAAATAAATAATAGAATTCTATTAGTCAAATATGAATAGCTTTACATTTGATACACTTGAACAGATTGTGAACTAAGCCAACTTATACTACTTATCACAGTTAACTCTGTTCTATTTCAACAGCTGGTGTGAATGACAGGCCCTAAGAAGACATTGCCATTCACAAAATATTTGCCTCAAATGCCTTGAAAGCATGAAAGAAAAACCAACAATGAAACCTGGTTCTCACTCTACCCATCCTTCTACTAATGATGTGCTGTGGAATAGGCAATTATTAATGCATAGAGGCGATATAATATGAAGGGTGAAAGCATATCCTTAAAGGTCACAGACAATGTGGTACTCTTTATTATGCTAAAACCAACTGAAATAAAAATACAGACACTTTGAGAGAATACAAGAAAGTAATAGACACCAACTTCAGTATGGTGGTTAAGTGAAGGAAGACCAAGGGAAAGACTATGAAGACAACAGTCAGTTAAAATCCTAGTTTTCATTTTGGTAATAGATGTTCAGGTTATTAAATTCTTTTTCTAAAGAGAGATAAGAGTTAGAGAGGGGATAAAAGAGGGAGAGGACAAAGGAGAGGAACGAAGAGAAGAAAAGAAAAGGACAGAATAGAGATAGAAAAAAACTAAAAAGATACAAAACAAACGAAGCGTGTCCTGAATCCAAGATCTCTGACACTACAATAAGATGACATAAGATGACACTATATGGCATGAAATTAATATAAAACTTGCTCATCGCTTGCAGGCTAATACCCAACCTATTATCTCTGAACCAAACTCAAATCCACTCATCCAGGTTTGCTTTTTTTCCCTCAATCAAATTCCAAATTTATTGGAATTGGATGTGTCTTCTGTAATTGGTCTCAGTAAGTGTGAGGCCTTTACCCCTTGTCAATAGACCTTCTGCTCAGCAAGCAATAGCCAAAAAGGCAGAGGAGAGTTGTGTGAATGGAAAAGCTGCTGATGGATCGACTGGGTCTCTGGAGTAGAGATGACCATTCCCACAAGTCTCTGAGTAGGCAAGTGGTGACTGTCATTAATTCATTCAATGCTTACTAAATATGAACTATGTGTAGATGTTATGATAAGAAAAAGGATCCTTCAGACTCACAATTCATACTTGAATCCAGTCTATCATCCCTAGAAAGCTTCAGAATCAACATTCTTCTCAAACCAAGAAGTAAGACAACTTCCCAGGCTCTGAGGCATTACTTACAGTCAATACCAAAGTAGCTCATGTACAAAGTGAAGTTACACTGGCTTCCAAATTCAAAGATGTCATATCTCTGTGGTAATCACTGGAAAAAACATTACATGAGATTTCATGAGTTCTACTGCTGTCTGTTTACCTGCTATCTCCAAAAGCGGGTCGATGTGGTCTCCTTCTGCCAGCTTCACAAAGCCAACCTGACTTCCAAACGTGCCAATCCCTTGGAAGGGCAAAGTCAACTGTTTCCCTTTGAGGATTTCCTCAATGAATGGCTTCAATTCCAAAAGCGAATCAATCCCACTGGTAAAAGACAACATTTTTCAGCAACATGCTAAGTAATAAAATATACAGAATCAACTAAGGAAAAACTAACCCATTCAGAAAGATAAATTTTATATACATACTAATTATTTTAACATTCAATATATCTTCTAGGTCTAACTTATAGTTAAACTATTTATTTTTAAACAATAACTATAGAAGTAAATTAAGTCTTTGGCCTAATTATAATTCCTATTAAAGACATGAATATAGATATTATCATATAGTTCATCGAGAAATTTCAGGGTTGGAGAGATGGCTCAGGGGTTAAGAGCAATGGCTACTCTTGACCCAAATTTGATTCCCAGCACACACATAGAGGCTAACAACCATCTATAACTCCAGTTCCAGGGGAGCCAACGCCCTCTTCTGGCCTCGATGGCCATTGCATGACACAGGTGCATTTACATACATGCAAGCAATATGCCCATACACATAAGTTAAAAATAACAAATAAGCCAGGCATGGTGGTGCACGCCTTTAATCCCAGCACTTGGGAGGTAGAGGCAGGTGGATCTCTGTGAGTTTGAGGCCAGCCTGGTCTACATAGTGAGTTCTAGGCCAACTGGGGCTACAGGGAGACTCTGTCTCAAAAAAGGCAAAAAGAAAGTAGTAGTAGCAGTAGTAGTAGTAGTAGTAGTAGTAGTAGTAGTAGTAGTAGTAGTAATAAATTTTTAAAAACTAGAAATTTCGAAGTCAAACATGGTGGCCCGTACCTCTAATCACAGCACTCTAGAGGTTGAGGCAGGTAGGTTCCCTTAAGTTTGAGGCCAATCTGGGCTATATAACAAGTGAGAACTTGACTCAAAAAAAAAAAATAAGAAGGGAGGGAGGGAGGGGAGAGAGAGGAAGAAAGAAAGAAGAGAGAGAGAGAGAGGGAGAGAGGAAGGAAGGAAGGAAGGAAGGAAGGAAGGAAGGAAGGGGAAAGAAGGAAGGGAGAGAGAGAGAGAAGGAAGGAAGGAAGGAAGAAAAGAAAGAAAGAAAGAAAGAAAGAAAGAAAGAAAGAAAGAAAGAAAGAAAGAAATACATTTCTAACCAAGAAAATATTACATATATAGCAAAGAACTGGAGAATAGCCCAGTGGTACAGCAGTTACCTAGCATGCATGAGGTCCTAGATTCAATCCCCAGTACCCTCAAGGGAGAAGAGAACTACAACTCAAAACCATTTTTGGACCAAGGTTTTACTAAAAATATATCAAAAAATGTTTTGAAAAACCTACTACACATAAGAGCTTTATTAGATTGTGGGGAATGTTCTAAATGTTGCTTTGTTTTTTTGCTTGTCTATTTCTGGGGTGGGTTTTTGAGGCAGGGTTTCATGAAGTCAGGGATGACCTTAAACTTCTGATCCTCTTGCCTCCACCTCCCAAGTGTTAGGATGAAAGGTGTGCTCTGGACTGGAGAGTGAATCCAGGCTTTGTACATAGTAAGTAAGCACTCAACCAGCCTAAGTCCTAGATTTTTTAAATCAAAGTACTAATATTTACTTATATAAGATTTATTGTTTGCAATGCATTCTACTAAAACTGAATATACATTCTCTCTTAAAATATAACAGTTTCTATAATAAGATAATTTACACTTAGATTCATAAGAAAAATAAATATAATTGTGTTTGCCAACCACAGCTGAATGCATGTTACTGCAATTTAACCTATGTTCATTAGGAATACTCTGTGTTTCAAATCTTCATTTTTCTTTATATTATTGAGTTAGACATTATCAAATTTTGAATACTTTAAAATTAAGAGTAATTACTTTCATCTTGAAAAGAATTTGGGTGTACACGCCATATGAGAAAAAATATTAAAGTCTCACTAGAGGGCAGCAATTACTTAAAAAAGAAACAACCGTGCACAGAAAGGAAAGGATTTTGAAACATGTTTCTAACAAAACCATCATTAAATTATCCTGTTTGCCAGTCAAATGTGTGAGAAAGAATGGGTGAAGTAGAAACTGAAACGTTCCACCTAGGAAAATGACAGCCCTAATGACTACTAAGAGAGCCCTTCCCACTGCATAACAGGCCATGTGCTTAGGGCTCTTGCTTATGTTGGCACTATTCTTTTCTCCATTTACTAGGAGAACAAATGATTTGTTCAAGTCAGGCAACTAATAAAGGTAGCTTTGCCATAGATCTAGAACCTTCACCAAAGTCTCCACCTAGACTCTAGAATCAGACTCCAGAATGCTTGCATCATGAACATAAGCAACACAATTATGTAACCAAGGGATACTATTTGATAACAGCAACAGAGTGAAAATCTAATTAAGAATATTTAAGCTGAAAGGCAGGTGGATCTCTGTGAGATCAAGACTAGCCTGATCTATATAGCAAGTTCCAGATTAGCTAGGGATACAAGGGAGACAATCTCAAAAAAAAAAAAGAAAGAAAGAAAGAAAAAGAAAAGAATATTTAAGCTGGGGGGGTGGAGAGATGGGTCAGAATTTAAGATGGTTTTCTGCTCTTGCAGAGAACTGGGGTTCAGGTCCCAGCATCCACATGGTGGCTAACAACCATCTTAACTCCAGTTCCAGAGGATCTGACACCCCTCTTCTGGCCTCCATGGGCACTGCATTCATGGTGTACTTACATACATGCAGGCAAAACACTCATACACATAAAATAAAAATAAATAAGGGCTGGTCAGTAGTAAGGCCAGTCTCAGTAGTTAAGAGCAATGGCTGCTCTTGCAGAGGAACTGGGTTCGGTTCCCAACACCCACATGGCAGCTAATAAGCAGTTTCAGGGTATTCAACACCCTCTTCTGACCTCTGCAGGCACTGCATAACACAGGTGCACTTACATACATGCAGGCAATACACTCATACACATAAAATAAAAATAATAAAATATAAATAAATAAATAATAGAATATTTAAGCTGAGTGTGGTAAAGCATGCTTGTAATCTCAGCACTCGGGCAGCAGAGGCCAGGGGATCAGAAGTTCAAGGCCATCCTTGACACAGTAAGATCAAGGCCAGCCTGTGTTACATGAAACCCTGCCTCAAAAAAAAAAAATTCTGAGTGTGACTATCAATCAGGATAAAGAATATTTCTTAAGAATGGCAAGCCTCTTTGGGTTCCTCTACATTTACAGAGAGTAATAATTTGAAAATAATGTTCAAGAAATATGCACTACTCACATATTTACTTCATCTTCATTTAATAATTGCATCACTAGCAGGGTAATATGAAAGGAACCATCACGGACCATTGCTTGGGACAGCCGCTGATCTTGCTGTAGTATTGCATTCTGCAGGATCTTAATTCTACCTGTAATCTAGTCAATCAGGCAAAAAAAAAAGAACCAGACATAGGTAGGTAAGCAAAACTTTTATATCAGTAAGAAAAATAAGCAACCAATTACTAAAATTAGAACAATGACAAGATTCTGCAACAAAACAAACACTATTTGTTCTTGAACTTCCTAGACAGTTGATTTGGATGGCTTCATAGACTATGTAAATTGTTTTTATAAATTGTTTTTTTTATTTTATTTATTATTTTTATTTTATGTGTATGCGTGTATTGCCTGCATGTAGGTAAGCCCACCAGTGTTGTGCAATGCCTGCGGAGGTCAGAAGAGGCTGTTGGATCCCCTGGGAGTGGAGTTACAGACAGTTGTTAGCTGCTATGTGGGTGCTGGGATCTGAACCCAGGTCTTCTGTAAGAACAACCAGTATTCTTAACTGCTGAGCCATCTCTCCAGCCCCTAGAATATGTAAGTTTAGAAAATCCCAAAATGCTTGTCCATCTTACCAGCACTGAGCCCAATATTCTTATTTTGCAGCCTGGGTCACTGACTGGGTGGAAAAACTCCCCATGGCCACGTATCCTTTTAGAAATGTGTCCTTGAATAAGGGTATGACTCACTAATTATGATCATTCCTAAGAGAAAAGCGTTATTCTTCCACAGAAAGGTCAAATCAGCAGACAACATTCCATTTCTGTTAGAAGCAATATTTATCTGTCCCCAAGTGAATGTGTCTGAGGACCTACTCACAGCCTTTTAGATTTTCTAGGATAGGAAGAATTCCTACAAGAATGAATGCTGTCCTTTTTTTCCTGATGACTGAGGGGGTGGGGGCATCATCATGGAAACAGAGCTGAAGGAAATCCAGACCACTGCAGTCTGCACCCAGGTGAGAGCCCCACTGGCCTGGCAACTCCACTTTTACCTCAAGACACCTGTTCCTCTGGAACAGAAAGGGAAAGGCTGTATCTCCTTCCTCCATTTTCTGTTAGATCTAATTCTGATCAACCTCTAAATGTGACTATAAAACAGCAAGCCCAGAGACAGCCCCAAGAGCAGAGAAAGCACAAAAGCCTGGGTCAGCCAGACTATAAGAGAAAAAAGAAAAAGAGGGACTGCCAGTAGAACCAGACTCTATTTTTTTAAAAAGCAGGATCAGAAAAGCACTGAAGCAGGAGCAGAGCAGGCTTTCTGATACTGGAGAGGCTGTTTTATCCTGAACAATGTTCCCATTATCTGTGGAATGTGACCAAGCAAATCATAAGACTGTTCCGGAACCTGAAGTCTCACAGACACTTTTTCCTTGAACCGGGTTCCACCGAGTCCTCTGCTGGATTAGGCCCAGCATTAGCTCTCTTCTTTGTCTTTGGAGAACTGAGAAAGAATCTTGTGAGGTCACTTTGGAGAAAATCTCCCTTCCTTGGTGTCCTGACCACCTTCCCAATGACCTGCCTTCAGCACTAATTCTATCAAGTTAGATGTTTCCTCTTAGCAATTTTCTATCTATTGACCCCAACACTGCTACTTGGTTACAAATCTCCCTAGTGTTTTCTGAAGTTGTAATCAAGTCTATTGTCCCCTACTGGAGGCTCTGTTTCCTATCACCTATGTCCCTATGCCTATCTCCATGGACTCCTTTAATAGAATCTCCTTACTATCTTTAACATTTAAATAATGTTAATACCATGTATCTTTACAATAAATCCACATGATTAAAGTGGCCTTGGTATTTCTCTATCCCTTGTCCTCTGAAAAAGACTAACAGTGGAAATGTTTTCCCAGTAGTGTTAAAGCAAAATTAAAATGGAGGCCAAGCCTGAAGCACCTCTGATCAAGCAAAACAAAGTCAGTCTTAAAATTGTTCAAAGATGTTAAAAATAGCCTTAACTTTGCTTAAACTGAAAAAATAAGCAAAATTTAATTTGAGTCATTTCTGGTCATTTCTGCTTATGTTAGACAGAACTGTAACTTAGCCTCAGCCAATCACAAGCAGCCAACTAACATATAATTATGTGACTAGGGATATTCCATCAAGGTAAACCATAAAAGGCAATTTTGTAAGTACAACCAATGTCTTTATTTTACTCCCACATTTTTCCTATAAATACTTGCCTCTGACACAATGAAATTGGAACACTAAATCTTTTTGAGTCTGCTATCTCCAAACTGCTTCTTACTCAAACTTAATAAAACATTACTGTGCCTAAGATTTTCCTTTTACAGGTTAGTGGTAGAAGTGGCCCTCAAAAAAGACCCCTAGTGACCTCCAGGAGAATGGAGAAGCCAGGCTAAGGAGAAGACCATGACCAGGATGCTCACTACTTTCTAGAGGCCCAAAGCTAGTCCTTCTCAGATTTTGAGTTGCCCATTTTGCATTCTGAGCACTCTAAGTTTCTTTTGTGTAATATATCACCAAGATCAAAGTATCTATTCACCAGGAACTCAACTCCACCCATTTGGAAACCTTAGGTAAGTAAATTTTGAAAAGACAGGCTATAACAATTTCATTAGTATCTAAAGAGTTAGGGACTCCTCTGTCTGGAACTTCTGCTAATTTTATCTTCAGAAATTATAGACATGAAACCTGTACCTTTCTACAGAAATGGGCGAACCTTATCAGAGATGACTTAAGAGTTGCAGTAGACACCATGAGGAATGTTTAGCCTAGATAAAATTATTCATCCCTCAGAGCTCCTGGAATGGGTTTTACTGTTTGTTTGCTTTTCAATGCTGGGAACCAAACCCAGGGCCTCCTGCCTGTTAAGCATATGCTCTACTACTGAGCTATATCCCATGCCTGAGATGCATTTTTTTTCACATACTCAGACTTCCAAAAAAACAAGTGATTTTTAAACTATGTTTCCAAAAGACTCAACACTGAATTCAAATAGAACAAATGAAGTTTCAGCAATAAATTCAGAATGAAAACAAAAAGAACTATGCAATAACTGACATAGTGGTTTCCTCCCTTCAGCCTCCTCTGTATAATTATTCTTAGTCTACTAACCCATTTGTTTAACTGTCTTCTCCTCTATCCTACTAATCCTTTTATTCAATATCCCATACCCTGAGGAACATAAGAAATGGGAAACCAGTAGAATGCCTCACAAAGTTAGGCCCTCCAAACAGCCAGGACTGACTGCTGGAAGTATTTTTAACTTCTCAGTCAAAAACTGAACTCAGAGCATTATTGGCAAAAGATTTTCCAAATTCCAGAGAAAATCCACAAAATAACTGACTGATAAAATTTATAATCTGTATACAAACCTAAGACTCAGGATGTCCTGATTTGTATTAGTTTACATACAAGATGTGAGGACCCACCAATCCACTTTACACTCTACTCACAACAAATTGGCATAAAGAAAGCATTTCAAGGAGTGAGGGGTTTCAAACCAAATTCAGAAAATCTTTTTCTGACCAGCCCACATGTCATCTACACCATTCTCAGAAATGCACACCTTCCTACTGGTGAGAGTGGGATGTGCTTTCTAACCTAAGAGGACATACAAAGAACTCTCTGAAAGAAAAATGATTCCAGGTTTCCTGACCCTTTGGAACCTGAATGTTGCTCTGTTTCCCACAAATAGGAAAAACTGAAAGCCAAATCTCTCTAATCACCAATTTCTTCCTCAACCATCATAGGGAAAAGTAAAAGCTAAGCCTGTTAATACAAAGAATGGTCATTGCCTCAGTTGCACCAATCTCCCTAAAGTTGTAGGCCATCCAAGGACTTTCACCAGTTGTGGGGTATTTAGCAAAATGAGGATTCATAATTATTTATACTAAACACTACAACACTCCAATCTACCAAGTAAAAAACCTAACAGAAGAAGCAGGTTATTTGTTCAAGACTTATCTGGAATAAATGAAATTGTAATACCAAGATTCTCAGTGGTTCTGAATCCTAACATTATGTGCCTACAGATCCATAATGCACTCACAGTGATAGACTTCTGCTTTGCCTTCCATGGTATTTGAGCTGATGAGAGCTAGTATTCATTTGCCTTTAATGATCAGCAGTACATGCATACTATATGCCACATGGGTTCCCTGTAGCCCCATCTTACCATCTCAGCCATTACACTGTTGGCATTACACTGCCGGCCTTACAAGTCCCAAGAAAACCCACTCACCCAATATGTAGAGAATCTGATACTATGTTCCCTACCAAAGTAGATGCTGAAATAAACACAGTTATTCCCTTTCAACAAATAGTACAGCAGTGCCAGAAAAAAAAGTTCAGTCAAGAGAAGGTCTATTATTTACGCCAAGATCTGACTGCAGAGGAATTTCCCTCTCACCTGAGTCAGTACAGATACTGGGAGGTTTCTGTGGACTTGGGGAGTGTTACAGATTTTGGCCAATTTCTCTCTGATAATATCCCATTATATGAACTTAGAAAAACTCTCCCAGAACCTTCACCATGGGAAAATAGCCATAAACAAGTTTTTGGCCAAATAAAACTGGCCTTATACCAGTTTTTAGCATTTTAGTGCAATGTCTTATATGGCAAAATACTTTTAGACCACTATTAGTTTTGAATTATCCACTACTTGTAAAACTAAAAATTAAAAACTGTAAAATCCTTTGGAGACTATATATGGCAAAATACTTTTAGACCACTATTAGTTTTGAATTATCCACTAGTTGTAAAACTAAAAATTAAAAACTGTAAAATTCTTTGGAGACTATTATGTCCATGAAGTCATATAATACTTGTAATACAGAGTTAACCTCAAACCTACAACAACTTTAAAGCTAATCTAATCAAGCAATATATTTCTAACTATGCTTTGATGCTTCAGATTAATTTATAGATTACTTTATATAATCTTAGGCTTTTTAAAATGTTTTTCATTCCTAATTCTTAGAAAGTAAAAGTAAAGAAAAACACTGCAGAGTCTTAACTGGATGTCATTTTTTTTAAGTACTAATGTCATCAAAGGCCAACAGAAACTAATTTTTATAGTCACTTCCAAATTCTACAGTCATTAAACCTTATCTGTCACTATAATACCCAGCCA